TTGTGTTTTAAGTTTGAGAACTTCTAACTTTGGTAGCTAAGGATGACCCTTGGGGAAACAGTAAAATTCTTGGGAAACTTTGAGAAAGAGTCTGTTTGGTGAAGATTGTGGTTAAGTTGGATGTGGCAGAGACTGCTGGTCATCCCCTAGTATCTATTCTCCTCTTCTTTCTTAGAAATAGGACTCTCAGTTTTTAGTTTGGCACATGGTCTCTTGGCACAAAGACTTTGTTTCCCAGTCTCCCTTGCAACTGATTGTGGCCATGTGACTAAAGTTCTATCCAATGGGATGTAAGTAGAGCTGTCACCTAAAATTGATGGGAAATGTCCTTAAAGGGTATGGACCTTCCCTATTCAGCCCTCTCCTTCTTGCTGAGATTGAAACCAAATCTGAGGGTGGTAGAAATGTAAGAGAGGAGTTTGGATTCCAAACAAATTCATGTAGCCTCATCCCTCTCCCCACCCCAATCCTGGGCTAGTTATCTCTGGACATCTCTAAATGTGAAAGAGAAATAAACATTTTGCTTGCTTAAGCCATTGTTATTTTGGTTTCTGTCACTCTTAGCCAAATTCAATATTAACTGATAAAATGGGTAAGGAAAACATAATGACAAAATAAAGAAAACTGCTTTAAGTCTAAATGGAGCTTTAAAATAAGTAGTTCTTGATATGATTTCTTTCATTTTTTCCTCCAAAATATCTATGAAAACCTAGAAAAAGATGAAATTTGCAACATTAGAAACCAGGACTGAGTCAATTTATTTGAGAGATTTTCTAATAATTCCTTCCTTTGACTATTCGTATATTCAACAAGTATTTTATTATTATTATTATTTTATCGAGGTCACATTAGTTTATAACGTTGTGTAAATTTCAGGCATACATCATGATATTTTGGCTTCTGTATATACTGTATCATGTTCTCCATCAAAAGTCTAGTTTCCATCTGTCACTATACATATGTACCCCCTTACCCCTTTTGCCCTCCTCCCACCCCCTTTCCCTCTGGTAACCACCAATCTATTCTCTGTATCTATGTGTTTGTTTGTTTTTCTTCCACATATGAGTGAAATCACATTATTTGTCTTTCTCTGACTTATTTTTCTTAGCATAATACCCTCAGGGTCCATCCATGTTGTTGCAAATGGCACAATTTCATCTTTTTTATGGCTGAGTAGTATTCCATTGCATATATATACCACATCTTCTTTATCTAGTCATCTGTTGATGGTCACTTAGGTTGCTTCCAAGTCTTGGCTATTGTGAATAATGCTTCAGTGAACATAGGGGTGCATATATCTTTTCTAATTAGTGTTTTCATGTTCTTTGGATAAATACCCAGAAGTGGAATAGCTGGATCATATAGTATTTCTAGTTTTAATTTTTTGAGAAATTTCCATACTGTTTTCCATAGTGACTGCACCAATTTGTATTCCCACCAGCAGTGTATGAGAGTTCCCTTTTCTCCACATCCTCTCCAATGCTTGTTATTTCTTGTCTTTTTAATAATAGCCATTCTGACAGGTGCAAGGTGATATCTCATGGTAGTTTTGATTTGCATTTCCCTAATAATTAGTTATGCTGAACATCTTTTTATGTGCCTGTTGGCTATCTGAATATCTTCTTTGGAAAAATGTCTGTTCATATCCTCTGCCCATTTTTTGATTGAGTTGTTTGTTTGTTTTTTTTGTTGTTGAGTTGTATGAGTTCTTTATATATTTTGGAGATTAACCCCTTGTCGGATATATGACTTGCAAATATTTTCTCCCAGTTGGTGGGTTGTCTTTTTGTTTTGTTCATGGTTTCCTTTGCTGTGAAGAAGCTTTTTAGTTTTATATAATCCCATTTGTTAATTTTTTCTTCTGTTTCCCTTGCCTGAGGAGACATGGTATTCAAAAAGATGCTGTTAAGACTGATGTTGAAGAGCAAACTGCCTACGTTTTCTTCTAGGATTTTACAGTCTTAGGTCTTACATTCAAGTCTTTAATCCATTTTGAGTTAATTTCTGTGTATGATATAAGACAATGATCTACTTTCATTCTTTCACATGTGGCTGTCCAGTTTTCCCAGCACCATTTATTGAGGAGAGTTTCCTTTCTCCGTTGTATGTTCTTGGTTCCTTTGTCGAAAATTAGCTGTCGAGAGATGTGTGGTTTTATTTCTAGGCTCTCAATTCTGTTCCACTGATCTCTGTGTCTGTTTTTCTGCAGGTACCATGCTGTTTTGATTACCAAATATTTGTAGTATATTTTGAATTCCGGGAGTGTGATACCTTCAGCTTTGTTCTTTTTTTCTCAGAATTGTTTTGGCTCAACAAGTATTTGTTAAAATACCTACCATGTATCAGGCTGTTCTAGACCAGGGAGTATAGAGGTGAACAAAACAGATAAAGTCCCTGCCTTCATGGAGCTTCTCTTCCAGTGGGAGGAGACAGACCTCAAACAAGATAAACAAGGAGCTATGTCAGATTGTATAAGTATGTGAAGAAAAACAAAGCAAGGTAAGGGAGTAGAAAGAGAGATACACATTACAGATGAAGTGGTCAGGGAAGTTTTCTTGGAGGAGGTGACATTTGAGCAGTCACCTGAATGAAGTGAGGGTGGGAGTCATGGTGATATCTGGAGGAAGAGCATTCAAGGCAGAGGACGCAACACATGCAAAGGGCCTGAGACAGAAACAGACTTGGCGTGTTCCAGGAACAGTAAGAAGATAGTGTGGCTGGAGTAGAGTAAGTGGGGAAAAGAAGTGGTAGGAAAAGATGTCTGAGAGTTGGTCAAGGGCCACTAGTGTAAGATGAATTGCTAGGAGGTTACTTTTAACTAAACTAAAAAACACACTTCGTGGTCCATTCTGATAAGGAAATGCCTCCCTAAAAATAGATGAGAAGACATCTTGTCCCTCTACTACGCTGGGTTAACAATTATAACAGCTACCCCCATCAGAGAATTGGGCAGCCAGCCCTCTGTTGTCTGGGTGTTTTCCACCAAAATGCCTCTTTCTCTATACAATCAGAGGCTGTCACCTCCAGGGAACCTATCATCTTGCTTAATCCTCTGGCAGGACGCTAATGGGGGTAGAGTACACTGGCAGTGCACAGTGAATTGTGGGAGGGGTTGTCCTTACAAATAAAGCACTACAGTTCGGTTGGAGATGGAAGAACCCCAGATGCAGTGGATGCTGTAACTTACAGCTTTTATGATGCTGTTTCATGGTGAGAGTTTGAGCACCAGGCAGCGAGAACAGGAGAAAATACTGTCTCTGTCCAAGAGAATCATAATAAGTACAAATATGGTAAATTGTACAGAGTTGGGACATAATGCCAAACCACGTGTTTGTTTAAAAAATCCAATTACTTGGATTTAGCTTCTATTTCCTTCTTTATTTCCTTTTGAAAATGTTATACAAATAATGCCGGTTTACAAAAAATAAAATCTGATATAGCTTTCTTCACATATTGGGCTGGGCTAAATGCATTCTGTGGATTGTTTACCAAGGATCAATTGGTAAATAAGAAAGATGTATGAAAATGAACAACGATGGCCTGAAATAGACCTCTGTCTGGGCACATTTGACTGTAGGGTCTATTTTATTTTATTTTTTGCTGAGGAAGATTAGCCCTGAGCTAGCATCTGTTGCCAATCCTCCTCTTTTTGCTGAGGAAGATTGGCCCTGGGCTAACATCCCTGCCCATCTTCCTCCACTTTATATGTGGGACACCGCCACACAATGGCTTGACAAGCGGTGCGTAGGTCCATGCCCTGGATCCGAACCCGGGACTCTCGGGCCGCTGAAGCAGAGCACTGTGAACTTAATCACTATGCCACCAGGCCAGCCCCTGGAGGGTCTATTTTAGAAGCAAAATGTGAGAATCACATTGTTTTACAAGCATGACTCATGTGTTGTTAGTAATATTTCAAGGCAAGCCACTTAAAATGCTCAGCCCCTGAGTACTGATACTGGAAATGAGTTTTCAAGTGTCTTCATTGAAGTGGACATATTTGTGCTTACGTTTAACATATATCTACACTTGGACTCTACAAAGTATAGCATTGTAAGCAAGAGAACAAATCCTGGTATCAGATCTGGATTAAAAATCTTAATCTCTACTGTTTCTTTGACAAGTGTTTTAACCTTTCTATATCAGTTTCCTCATTTGAAAAATGGAGATGATTCCTATTTCAAGGTTAATAGAATTACACTAGTTAATGTATAAGTTGCCAAGCATGTTGTGTGTCACATGGTAAGGCTCATTATATAGTAGGTATTATTAATATTATAGCAACTATCATTTCTAGGAGAGACTGTTGGGGATCAAAAATGTTTGTGGCATGAAAACTTTGGCAACCACGAGCACAGACTTCTTCCTCTCCTTTATAATTGCTTACCTGCTTAAGACATGGGACCTCAGCTCTCTGCCCACTGGGACCCGAATCGGCCATTAATTTACTAAACAAGGCAATCTAAAAACTCCAGGTGTATCTTCTCGTATGGACCCGGACTGTTGAACTGGAAAACTAAGAGTAAAGGTGTGACAATTGCCCTTCGACCCACACTCCCCCATCGGTCGCCTGCTCATTTAAATGGTGCGTCCCCTGAGGTGCCACACGATAAAATTTGCGCTGAGCGCTCCCTGTGGATTCGCCGGCCGCGGCTGGAGGCTTCAGTTCTCACCTGCCCAGGTGTCCGCGGCGCTCGGTGATCCCGGCCACTCTGAGCCTGGCATCAGGTGAGCGCTTAGCGTGGGGGTGGTCCCCGAAATCCCAGTTCGAGGGGCTCAGCTGGCTGCGGTGGGCCCGGAGGCTACTTACCAGCGCGTTCCCACCTCCGCATCTTCGCGGGGTGCTCGGGGGCCCGGCGGGGACAGACACCTGGAGGACGCCTCCAATTCCCGCGGGGCGCCACGCCCTCCGCGCTCCCGGCGGCGCCGGGAAATAAGGAGTGAGCGCCCGACCGCCCGGGTAGAAAGGTCCAGCTCCGGCTGCTCACCGCGGGGCTGCCACTTCTGCTCGGCGCCTGGGCCACAGCGCGGCCATGGACGCGCCACCCCGGGGCATCGGCACCTTCGTGGTGTGGGACTACGTGGTGTTCGCCGGGATGCTGGTCATCTCGGCCGCCATCGGCATCTACTACGCCTTCGCGGGGGGCGGCCAGCAGACCTCCAAGGAGTTCCTGATGGGCGGCCGCAGAATGACCGCCGTGCCGGTGGCGCTGTCTCTCACCGCCAGCTTCATGTCGGCGGTCACCATCCTGGGCGCCCCCTCCGAGGTCTACCGTTTTGGGGCCGTGTACAGCATGTTTGCCATCGCCTACTTCTTTGTGGTGCTCTTCAGCGCAGAGATCTTCCTTCCGGTGTTCTACAAACTGGGAATTACCAGCACCTACGAGGTAAAGGGTGAAGGTGGGCTGGGGAGGGGCGGGGGGGGGCACTTTTAAGGCCTCTGGAGGGATTTTTCCCTCCGACAGACTCATCACCGGGTAGAAATATCTCCCTGTCCAGGTCCGTCACCTCTCCCGCCCTGCCCTTTTGGCGAGAGGTGACCGATGAAGGCGACAGAATCCTGGGACTTACTCTCATGAGCTCAGAGAAAAAGAGGCTTCCAAAGTAAGCGGAATGATTTGGACTAGTGCTCGCTATGGCCCTTTCTGCTTTAACATCTAGGATTCCGAGTCAAGGGGAAAGATTTTAACACTTTTTATCTTGGGGGTAGGGAAATCGTTCAAGTCTCAGCTCCTCCTCCTTGAAATGAATCCCTTTGTTTTAGGTCTTTTCTTCACTTTTCCAGGATAGCTGGGGAAGAATTTTCACTCTCCCCTCCTCCCCCCTTCACACACCCCTGCCTTAGAGAGGCAGACGCCCAAATGGTTAAGATGCTGTAATTCTTGTCCCAGTACCTGCTTTGAGGCCAGATTCTACCACTTACTAGCTGGGTAACCTTGGGTGACTTCCTTAACCTTTTGTGTCTATTTCTTCATTTCAAAATGAAAATTATAATACCACCTCCCTCATCCAGTTGTTGGAAGGATGGTGGTGGTGTTAGAGGTGGTTGTCTTGGGATTACTAGGAAAATTTGGTTGCAAGGTTCTTAAATAGCTCTGCCTTCTCTGTCTGTGGAAAGATGATTAAGGAAAACCATCTTTCCTATTGCACAGGTCTGCTGGGTATAGGTTTTCTCAAGTTGTCTGCAGGAAAGGGCTTTGCAAAGATAGTGAATGTTTGCTTTAGTTTAAGGAGCTTGAGTGGGAGTGTGGGGGGAGGATAAAAGCTCAGGCAAGCAGTGGGGCCCTGTTTCATGCCCTCTGTGGTCTCCTTCACTCATGCTCCATGGACCAACCTGCAGAAGTTTCCCCTCTAATAGGCCAATACCCAGAGGACTCTGAGCCTCATTCTCAGCAGCCACCTCTGTCTTTGAGTTTATGTAGTGTTTGCTCAAACTCAGAGCCACTGGAAGGTTGTTTCCAAGTGAGGCTGGTTCAACAGGTGCTGGGGACGGGGCCCCAATAGCACAATAAGTGTAGGTGACAAACTGCATGGGCTTTAGTGACATCATTTAGGGCGAGACACCCCTGGGGCAGCATTGGCTTCCACTCACTCTGGTCATTGTGTTTGGGAGAGTTCAGTCATCACCCCAGAAGTGAGAAGGATAGAATTTCTCTGTTTTGCTTAAAGGTGACAAATTGGCTGCCCCAGGCCAAACTGAGTCTTCAGTCATGTTTTTTCTGACCCTTGTGGTGTTTTGAAAAATAAAATTAATTTATCATTTAATGATGATGAGAAGTCAAATAAAATTCCAGATTCTGGCTTCTTTTGCAAACTTAGAGGACTGATGACACTGGGCCCACAGTCTGTGGCCCCAGGAAGTCCAGTTTACAGCCATTGCTATCACTTCTTCTTAATTTCTGTATTGAGGCCTAATCACTGTATTTGCATGGTTACTGTCTCATGATAGAAAAATCTTTATCTGCATTTATGTCTTTATCAAAAATACAAAAGGGAAAATGGACAGGGGTGAAGGGAGTTCTTGTTTGGAGGGAGATGTTTGTTCCTTAGTGGATGTGAGGAATATTCCAACATGTTAATATATGAACACCTGGCCGATGCCACTCAGGTGCTGCCTGGTGGGATTTGTAGGACTTTGAGTCTGTGAGCTCTGATCCGTAGTTAACCAACTCCAAAACTCAGAAAGGGTTTGAAGAATTTGGCAAGAGGACTTCAGTCCCCACAGATGAATGCGCTCTCATAATCACCGACCCATGCTTCTCCGGGGCAGCGACATTAACTCAACCAGAAACAGATTTCTCACACGTTTCAAGTGGTGGAGGCTAAATTAGCAGAGTTCCCGCTGAAAATGGCAAAAGCTAACATTTACTGAATGTTTCATACATGCTGGGCACTGGGCTGCATGTTTTACACACATTATCTGACTTAATACTCAAAGCAATCCTTATAAGGGAGGTATTATGAGAGCACCATTTTGCAGACAAAGAGACTCAGAGTAAGTTAAGCTACATAAGAGAGCATGAAGGAAAGTAGACACATGCCTAGAGGCTGTGCAGTGGTGCATAATGGCTGCTTCTGAAGGCTCTGGTGAGTCTGTTATAACCCTGAGCAGAGCTTATGACAGTGCAGAGAGAACAAGGGAAGTAAGTAGTATAGGCTACATGGAGGTGTGGGCACGCTGGGGGTGTCCACAACTAGTGGGTGCCAGGCAGTTGGGGACAGAGAAGTTAGATAACATGTTATGTCCCTGATGATTGGTCATGGCAAACACTTCCTTGAGGAATATTCTGTTTTATGGTGAGAGGTGGAGCCACCCATATAGAATAACAAGTCCAGTATGGAGTGATCCTCTGGATTCTTGCTCAAGTATGAAATCTTTCCCTACTTGTAGTTCGTTAGCTAAGACTGGCTGTTCGGAAGCATTTTTTATTTCTATCGCTGCCCTAAGTGAGGTCCTGACAGGTGTTTAGCCACTTCCAGACCCACAGATAAAAAGTATAATGCAAGAGTCCAATTTCATTCACCACTTCTTCAGGAACTTTCTGGATCTAGCGAAATCTGTGTGTTTGGACTGAGTTGCCCGACTCCTCTCTCTCTCTCTCTCTTTTTTGATTCAACAGAGATCTTAGGATCCCTAAGTTATTGAAAGTTCTAGGGACTATGAGAGATCTTGGTTGACTATAGGCACCTACTGTTACTCTGTAGTTTTGTCTGGAAATCCTAGAGCTATTTTCTGAGCCTACTGCTCAGTGACTTGGGCTTCAGGGAGGTCTCCAGATATTTCTTTAGCAGCCCAGTAACTACTGATAGCTGAGATAGTGATAGACTTTTTGTTTCTATCTTAAGCTGGTCTTGTGTGAGGTTAAATCCATAGGTTTGCCTGGATCCAGCTGATCGTTGGGAAAATATGTATATATATTGTGTTCAACTTGCTACATTCTTACCTCCATCACATTTTTCTCTTTAGTTTTCTTTTGTCTCCAAAAATCTGGATACATTTACCTAGAAAATGCAAAGCCTTCTCTATCTGTTCATGTACTTTCATTTTTTTAATTAATTAATTCATTCATTCATTTTTCCCCCAAAGCCCCAGTAGATAGTTGTACATCATAGTTTCACATCCTTCTAGTTGCTGTACGTGGGACGCGGCCTCAGCATGGCCGGAGAAGCGGTGCCTCAGTGCGCGCCTGGGATCCGAACCCGGGCCGCCAGCAGCGGAGCGCGCACACCCAACCGCTAAACCACGGGGCCGGCCCCTGTACTTTCGTTTTTAATAGAGTTTTACTCTGAAGAAACAACTCTGAAGAAATAACAGTGCCCTGTTTCCAGGCTTCAGGGCACTTCTTGAGTGTTCTAAAACGTCTTCCAAAGTATCCTCAGATGATTTTCATGCATTCAAATTTCATTTGAATTTCACTGAAATTCAAATTCTCATGGCCTATGGATTTGGATACCAGCTTTTTTTTTTTTTTTGTGAGGAAGATTGGCCCTGAGCTAACATCTGTTGCCAACCTTCCTCTTTTTGCTTGAGGAAGACTGCCGCTGAACTAACATCTGTGCCAATCTTCCTCTATTTTGTATGTGAGGACGCCTCCACAGCATGGCTTGATGAATGGTGTGTAGGTCTGTGCCTGGGATCCAAACCTGCAAACCCCAGGCCGCCGAAGCAGAGTGTGTGAACTCAACCAGTATGTCATCTGGCCGGCCCCTGGATACCAGCTTTTTTATATGTTACTTTTGAAGGAACAGTTTACAACATTTCCCCATCCATGTATATAATTCAATAGTCTCCCAAACCCTGCAAAGTAAGAGGGGAGAGAAGTATTCCTATGATCCTCATCTTCAAGGGGAGGAACCTGAGATTTCGAGTGACTCCCTCATACTCATGGAGTCAGGGTTGGGGCTGGGACAAGGGCTGGAATTCTCCTCCCAATGTGCTACACTGCATTGTACATTTTTTACCCATTAGTTTGGAGGTCCTACTATGTGTCAGTGCCACCTACTCACTCTGTATGAGTCCTAGACATCTGGTCAGTTTACTTGTTTATTTCAAATAATGTAGTGGTTATGTGCACAGATTTTGGCATGAAATGGTCCTAGATTTGCATTGTGGCTCTGACAATCATTAGTTGCAACCTTGGTGTTCTCTCTGAGCCCCAGTGTCCTCGATTCTAACGTGTGCTTATACATAGTACCTGCCTCATGCAGTTGCTGGGATGACAGTCTATATGGCAAATACTCTATAAATGTTAGCTGTGATTATAGAGCAAAAATATCTGATGTCTTTTCCTCTGATTGTTACCTAATGTCAGTTTTTTCTTCCTCATTTTTTTTTTGCTATATGAAAAGACTATTGTCAGCTTTAAAATTCTCTCTCCATGTAGTAATAATATTCAAGTTAAATAATGTCTTGGACCCCAGCTTCCTTCTAGCTTTGAAATTCTAGGATTCTAACTCTATAATACATTATAATATATAACATAAGAGATAAGCAGACTATATTATAAGATATAGCAGATGTCAAGGAGAGTAGGAAGAATTGGCAGGGTGTTGGATCTGAACAGAAACTGACTTGGGCTGTTTTAAGTTAAAGAAAGAAACGTTTATTGGAAGGGTATGGGGGTAGCTCATAGAACAGAGAAAAAGTTGAACAAATAGACTGTGAAAAAGACAAGAGCCGGGGCAGCCTCTTCCGACACCCTGACAGGACCACTCTGCTTCTGCTCCAGTCATTTTCTGTCTTTATATCTTGCCTCTAAGCTTCAAATACCCATTGGGAAGAGAAGCTGATTGGCTGAGCGTGGATCATGTGACCACCCCTTGGTCAGAAGAGGCAGGGCACCTTGATTGACAGTTTCATCACAATTGCGTGTAGTGGGAAAGGGTGGTTCCCCAAGTGAATCAGGGAAATGTATGGAGTAGATACCAAGAGAAAGGGGAAACAACACTTGGCTCATTCTAAAAATGCAGAATATAATTCCATTTATATGACATTCTGGACAGGGCAAAACTAGGGATGGAGAACAGATCAGTGATTGCCAAGGTTTAGGGGTGGGGGAAGGTTTTGAGTACAAAGGAGCAACATGAGGGAGTTTTCTGGGGGTGATGGAACTGTTCTGTATGTATTAAAACCCGTTGAACTGTACTCTAAAACGAGAGTCAATTTTGCTATATGTAAATAAAAATAAGAGTAAAATAAAAATACAGAATACAAATTAGTTATGACATTACTTTAAACCTTTAACTCCTTTACTTCTTAAGCAGCTGATTTTTAAAAAGTGTCCAGAGGTTTCACATATTAACCGTTTTTCCTTTTTTGGAAACAGTATTTGGAACTTCGATTTAGCAAATATGTTCGTGTGTGTGGAACAATCATCTTCGTTGTTCAAACAGTAAGTATCTCTCCATTAATTTATCGTTTGTCATCTAAAATGTTTTTAACCAAGGCATCTTGGCCAAACTTATTTGGTGAATATATTAACCATAAAAAAGCGATGTTGAAAATAGGAGGAAACAAAAAAGGAAAAACACTCGTCACTACACAGCATTAACCCTTAAGGTCATGAAACAGTGTTTCAGCAAATGCCTTATTTCCAGGAAAAACAGAATGATTTAAGTGAACATTAAATATTATATTGATCAAACAACAGTTATGTTGCTTATCCCATCTCCTACCATCCCCATCAAAGTGACAGTAAGGGCATTACTGAGATGACAAAGATATTTGAAGGAGCTGTAGTAGCAGCTGATAGTAGGAGTAGTAAAAAAGGGAAAACAAATTGTATTTTTTGTAGTATTTTTGCAACATATTGAGTAATAGATATGAAAAAGTTAACTGACATAGGAAGACATTAGGAAATAATTTTCTTTGTTTGAAAGCATACTTAAAAAAATGAACCTGTGCTCTCTTTTAAAAATTAAAACATAAAATCCAATTGAAGCAGTCACTGAGTGTAAAACAACAGAACCATGCACTCTGGAGGAGTTTTTAAAGCCAAGGACACAATCCAGTAGTTCAAGAATTATATAAGCGTAGATTTACTGATTGACGCAAATGGAAAGCAGAGATTTGCCTAGCGGTCAGTGACAGAGAATGCCTACCACCCTTCATCCAGATTGCTGGAGTCTTGTCATGATCATTGTTACGTCATTTATATCTATCTTCCTCTTGGCAGCTAAGTGCTTTAGGGATGGGTTTGATAATAGAAATCTAGGAAGTTTTCATTCTCATCCCTGTTTACAATTCCTTTTCTCCAATAAAAAGCTACCTAAGCATTTGCTACAGCGTGACAGAATGCCTTTGTAAAGTATTTAACTGGGCTCATTTTTCATCTCTGTAAATTACATAACTTAAATTATGTCAGTCCTTAAAGCAAGGAGCCCTTTGGGGTCTGGTAGAGATTCTGACACAGAGCTGAGGCTGGTAGCTTGCAGTGGCCAACTGTTCAAACTCTCTTTGGATCATTGTTAGAAATGCCAACAGAAATGAAAAGTGGGGACAACTGTTAGGAATATGGCCTGTGGTCACGTTTTCAAATCTTCAACTTGGACAGAACAATGAATATGGAAAGCCAGTACATTCTTCCCATAAGAAAGGAGCTTTAGCATCTTCCATTTGAAGGACTTACTTCTGTAGATCTACTCATGTTATATGAACAAACATTCAAATACTACATAATATGATTTTTTTCATGTTTTTATAGGGTAATCACTGAATTAGCTTCTGTGTGATGTATTTGAAAAATCATGTGCAATGAAAATGATATTTTGAGAAAAAAGACCATATATATCTTATTCACTATTGTACCCCAGATTAATAAATATTTGTTAAATGTATGAATGAAAAATAATAAATAATATAAAAAAGATGGAATGCAGTTTTTGTTGGCTTTCAGGATTTTTTAGTGTAAATGTACACTTCTGTTTAATCAATGGGCATGCAAACTTTTAAAAACTGGTTTCCAAAATTTTCTCTGTTTTCTCAATTAATTATGCAGTGTTTAACAATAGTTTGAAGGTGTATGAATGAGGGACCATCCCCTTTTAAATTTGTGTTCTTTCTTTCTTTGTAATTGTTTTAGATCTAGGAAAATTGATTTCAAGCTTGAATTGATGGATCAGTGACTATCTGCACTACCACCACATGAAAAGTCCATATTTTTTCACAAAATTGGTCAAAAAAGATTTTTGTAACCTATGACCACACCACAAACAGAAAAGGAGAATCAACTTCTCTTAAATAACATTTTTCAAGTTACGTACAATTTTATTAAGTCTGAAAGTGCTGTTTTAATTCATAATCAAACTTATGGAAAAATATCAATATTTTATTTTATAATTCAGACCATTTATTTGGTTTTCTTTTTTCCTCTAGATTCTGTATACTGGAATTGCTATTTATGCCCCTGCTCTGGCTTTGAATCAAGGTACATTTTAAAGTTACCAGCTATGTCACTCACATTTTGTCATTCCTTTTTAATAGATTTTATTCTCTCTTTGGAGAAGTGGGGAGATGGATGAATGCTTCTGTGTCAGCTTGGGGCGGAGGGGCCCTGGTGAGTTCAGTGTCTACACTAACAGCTTCTTTGGGTTCCTGGATTGATAGCTTCCAAAGGTCTGTAGATTAGTGGAGGGGCAGACCTCACTGGGCAGTGATTCTCTGGGATGTGCCAACCAGCCATTCCCCATTCCTTCAGAATGAACGCCTCCTATAGTCTAAATCATGAATAACGACTCTCCCTCCCTTTGTGGCTGTAACCTGGAGCCTATCTCCAAGAGGCTTCTGTGTTACTAGGCTCAGTTGCATCAGGAAAAATCTGGCAGGGAGAGAAGCTTTTCTTGTCCCCACTTCTACTGTGGTCCAAAATGCAGGAGAATGAGATCTGTGTGATTTGAAATATCAGACTGCTCCTAGTGACAAAAGGACAAATGGCTATAGTGTCCTTATAAGCAAATGTATGAAGATTGTACTGATCAACAAGTTGCTATACTCTCTAGGTTTGGGCAGATAAAAGCAGTGAAACTGGGACAGTTTATTGAGGCAAAGGCGCCTATTAGTCAGATCCTCAAAAGGCTTTGGGGAAACTCTATTTCCTTTGAATTCTTATCAATCAGAAGTGAGTTTCTCTCTAAAACTTCCTTGTAAAATTGACAGGTGGACCCTGTGATGGGAAGAATGTGGTGCAGTTCCTGGAGTTAATATAAAATGGAAAAACCATGCTAAATCCACACTCTAGTTTCTTGATTTCTTGATAGATAGATAGTAGTTATCACCTAAGTTTATAAGGTACAACAGTATCATTACAGAGAAGAACTCCGTTATATAATGTGCTCTTGAATTCTGAATGTCAGGCATGTTCCGTGTCAATATTACCAACATCATGAATGGATCACTTTATATGTAAAGAACAGAGCTATAAATTTCATAAGTTACCTATTGGCTTTAAGTATAATTAAAGATGTTGGCTTTAGGGTTTTAAAGTGCAGTTCTAGGAATAAGAAAGTACTACCTTCAAACTGTGAAGAAATCAAGAACTCTGTTCTTATCAGTTTATTGAACCACTCCCTAGGAATAAATTAGGAACCAAGAGATTTCATTTTGACTACTTGAATATCAATTGTGTATTTTGCTGTGACCAAGGCAGTAGGCACAAACATAGATATCGTACTTGGTGTGCAACAGATGTTCAACAGAAACTTGTTTAACTGAGTTAGAACTTAACATTCTCTGGGTCCAATCTTTTTTTTTTTATTATGGAAATCTTCAAATATATACTAAAATAGAGAGGACAAGTGTAGTGAATCCTAGTGTACCCATCACTCTATACTAATTATCAACTCTTAGTTTAATTCACTCCTCGTTTCCCTCACTTGATTATTTTGCTGTAAATATGAGATATTATATCATTTCACCTGAATTCAGTATGTCTTTTAAAAATAAAAACCTGTTTTTTAAACACGATTATACCATCATCATGTCTAAAACATTAACATTAATTCCTTAATATCATCAATATCAAGTCAGTGTTCAGATTTTCCTGATTTTTTTGTGTTTGTTAGAATCAGGATCCAAGTTTATGTAATTGCAATTAGTTGATATGTCTCTCAAGTTTCTCTTTCTTCCTTTTTAAAATTGAAATTTTAAAATTGAAAAATTATCATTTCTAATCATTAGAATTGAGATACAGCTTTTAAACAATAGAATGCACAGAAAATAAGTATACAGTTGGATGAATTTTAACAATTGTGTACACTTGTGTGACCACCACCCAACTCAAGATATAGAGTATTTCCATCATCCAATCCCAGAAAATTTTCTTGTGCTTCTTTGTAATAAATCTGCCCAGCCATCACAAGCTGCCACTTTCTGATTTTTATCACCATAAATTAGTTTTCCTTCTTCTCAGATTTTATGTAAATGGAATCATAGAGTGCTTTCTTGCATCTCATTTCTTTTGCTCAACAAAATGTTTTTGAGGTGCATTCATGTTCCTACATGTATCAGTAGTTTATTCCTTTTTATTACTAGTATTTCGTCGTATGTGTCTACCAAAATCTGTTTATCCATCCTCTTGTTGATGGACATTGGGTTGTTTCCAGCCTTAGGCTATTATGAATTAAGGCTGCTAAGAAAATTTTTGTACAGGTTTTGTTTTGTCTTTCTTTGCTTTTTGACACGTTTTTATTTGTGTTGGGTAAATACCTGGAAGCTGTGTAAAGTTAAACATACATCTCTTACGACCCAGCACAGGGTTGATGCACGTACGAAATGTAAGAGAAACTGCTAAATATCTTTTTTAAATGGTTGTAACATCTTACATGCTTACCCCACAATATATGAAAGTTCCAGTTACTTCACACCCTTGCCAACATTTCATATTTGTCTTTTCAATTTTAGCTGTTCTGGTTGTATGATCTATTATCTTATTACTATTTTACTTTGCATTTTCCTGATGAGTTTTGATGTTGAGCTTACTGGCTCATGGAATAAAAAAATGAATACAAAAAGACAAATAACCCAGTAAAAAGTGGACAGAAGACTGGAACGGACACTTTACAAAAGCATATATTCTTTTAATCAATTACATGGTATCTATCCATTTAGCTAGGCCTTTTAAAACTTCTGTCAGTAATGTTTTATAGTTTTTGATGTTGAAGTCTTGTGCACATTTCTTAGATTTACTCCTAGGTAATTGATGTTTTTGATGCTTTTGCAAATTGTATTGTTTTATAATATCTTTTTCTAATTATTCATTGCAAATATATAAAAATACAGTTGACTTTTATATGTTGATCTTCTATCCTGAGAATTTGCTAAATTTGCTTGCTAATTCAAGTAGGTTTTTGGCAAATCCCTTAGGATTTTCATGTTATTTATGAATAGAGACAGTTTTACTTTTTCTTTTCTAATTTGTGTGTCTTTTATTTCTCTTCCTCATCTTACTGTGCTGTTAACATGGGAAATTATGTTGATTTTCGAATGTTAAACCAGTTTTGCATTCTTGGAATAAACCTCACTTGATCATAATATATTAACCTTTTTATATATTGCTGGATTTGATTTGTTGATATTTTGTTAAAGACTTTTGCAGTCTATGAGGACTATTGATCTGAAGTTACTTTTCCTTTAATGTCTTTGTCAGGATTTTTGTATCAGTTATGCTGGCTTCATAAACGAGTTGAGAAGTGTTCCCTCTTCTATTTTCTGAAAGAGTTTGTGTAAAATTGTGTATTTCTTTCTTAAATGCTTGTAGAATTCACAGTGAAGGCTTCTGGGCATGATGTTTGTTTTTATAGAAAGGTTTTGATTTATGGATTCAATTTCTTTAATAAATATGGACTTATTCATATTTTCTAATTCTTATTGAGTCAGCTTTGGTGAACTATGTTTTTCAGGGAATTAATTCATTTTTATCTAACTTGTCAAATTCATTACTATAAAGTTGTTTATAATATCCTCAGTTTTAATGTTTGTAGTACCTATAGTGATGTCCCTTTAATTATTCCTAATATTGGTAAGACACCTTTTCTATCTTTTTTTCTTGACGTATCTTACTAGTCATTTACTGACGTTTTCAATTTTTTCTAAGAACCAATTTTTGGCTGTGTTGATTTTATGTGATTGCTTTCTATTTTATTAATTTGTGCTATTATGTTTATTGTTTCTTTTCCTCTGCTTACTTTGGGTTTAACTTTTCTAGCTTCTTAAGGTAGAAAGACCATTGATTTTAAATCTTTCTTATTTTCTAGTGTAAATATTTAACGTTATAAATTTTTCTTTGAGTGCTGCTTAATCTGCATCCCACAGATTTTGATACATTGTGTTTTTATTATCATTCAGTTCAAAATATTTCTAATTTCTCTTGTGATTTCTTTTACCCAATACATTTAGAAATGTATTATGTAATTTTCAAATATTTGGTGATTTTCTACTATATCTTTTTGTTATTGATTTCTAAATTAATACTGCTTTGGTCAGAGAACTATTATGATTTTAATCCTTAGAAATGTGTTTTTATGGCTCAGGATATGGTCTATCTGCTGCACATTCCATGTACTCTTATAAAGAATGTGTATTGGGTAGTTTTTGGGTGTAATGTTCTATAAATGTCAAAGGTTCTGTTGGTTAATAGTGTTGTTCAAATCTTCTATATCTTTACTGATTTTTTTTTCTTGTATCAATTACTGAAGAGGGATATTAAACTCTTCAAATATAACTGCTGATTTTTCCTTTCTCCTCTTCTGTCAATTTTTGCTAGATGTATTTTGAAGCTCTTTTAAAGTCTCTTTTAGTTTATAATATCCCTCCTTTTTTTTAAATTGCAATTTATTTGTTGAACAAACGGTCGTTTGTTCTGTCAAATTTTCCAGGTTCTTGGTTTTACTGAGTGCATCACCATGGGGTCATTTAATGTTCCCCAGCCATCTGTATTTCTTGTAAACTAGTAGTTAGATCTAGAAGCTCTCCTCAGACTCTAGTTCAACTTTTTAGAAAGAATATTTCATAGGCAGTGTCATTTGTTTCCTTCAGAAGGCATAGAATGTCAGTCTTTTAAAAAAAATTTATTGGCAGTCATTGATGATCATTCTAGGTCTATTATTTCATTAGGGCTTATAAAATGGGATATTCTTTTCTTTTTATAAAATAAGTAAATTTTATTTTGATACCTTGAACATTTTTTAAATTCTATTGAGGTCTTATTGGCTGTTAATATTGTGTAAACTTCAGGTATACATTATTATATTTCAGTTTCTGTATACATTGTATCATGTTCACCACCAATATTCTAGTTTTTATCCATCACCAGACATATGTGCCCTTTACTCCTTTTGCCCTCCCCCCTACCCGCTTTTCCTCTGGTAACCACTAATTTGTTCTCCTTATCTATGTATTTATTTGTTTATCTTCTGCATATGAGCGAAATCA